CACTTGTTATGCTTTATATTACTCTAGCCCAGCAAATGAATAATCATTCCATTTTACAGGTAAGGAAATGGAGGTTCAATGTAGTAGAGTAACTAGCTAGGGGCTCTGTAGCTAGTGACAACAGTGCAGAACATGGAAGCTCACTGGGACCCACGTTCTTCCCAGGTTTCTCAAGCTTGATTTGCGTGTGGGGCTCTTTTAAAGGAATAAAAATTCTTACAGACACCAAAGACCATCTTCCTGTAAACTTAAATGGCCAAAAGTCATATGTGGTGCCAAACAAGAAATCAGGTTGACAAAGAACATCTCTATTTTCTCTGACTTTGTTTTTAAAACTTAACCTAACAAAGAGGGGTACAGGAGACAATACAGCCACAGATATTTTAGAGGGTGACTTCACTCTGGGTACTCTTCCTCCAAATTGGTTCCTAAAGCCCCATCAGGTATGTGGCTTCTTTGGAAGGTGAGGCAGACTTGATTGGTTCCATCTTTCTCTGCAGACACAGTCAACTTTCTATTCAGTCAATTCATTCAATAAATATTTACTGAGCACCTATTATGTGCCAGAAAATAAACAGGTGAGGGGCGAGTGTGATGGCTATATAGTTGAAGAAGTGGCTACAGGCCAAATCAAAACTTACTTTCTGCTTAGCACTGAAGAAAAGGTGCAACCAGGATTTCCAGCCCTCTTTTGATAAACCCTGAATCAGTCTGGCCCTAAGAAGCTACTGTTCCTATCCTTAAGTATTTGCCATTTTACCATTTCTATCTCCCTACCTACTTCTTCACTAAAACTGGGCTCTACCTACACCTTTAGGAACTATGTGTCTCCTTAACGGCTTTGTGTGTGACATGAGCTGGTTTCTTTCACTCTTTCCTGTTCACCTTCCCACTCCACACCCCAAGCCAAGAGAATGCTATAGTCTCTGATCCGGACTACAAATTGAAAAGCTGTGCTCATACTTGACTAAAAGCAATGACTCTATGTTTCTCACAGACGGACAGTATAAACTCCTGCACCTTTTCATAGTTTTGAAGACTGTTTTCCTGACTACCTCCTATTATAATAAAGCCTGCAAGAGCCAGAACCTGGGTAAGGCAGAAACTTGTCAGAGAAGGAGAAAAGTGGTAAGACTACACTGTCAAGGGAGGTATACTTGCAAGACCCACAGAAACAAGGCAGCCCTGTGGAGTTCCAGCTCTCACAGGTTTCTCTACTCCTCTATTTGTATTTGTTGTTATTGTTAGGTGTTGTCTAGTGATTCTGACTTATAGTGACCCTATATGACAGAGCAGAACTGCCCCATAGGGTTTTCTAGTCTGTAATATTTACAGAAGTAGATTGTCAGGTCTTTCTCATAAAGAGCAACTGGGTGGATTCAAACCACAAACCTTTTGGTTAGCAGCTGAGCATTTAACCATTGCAGCCCGAGGGACCCTTAACAGTTGAGAAATAGCATGATCTCTAAAAAGTGAAAAGAATAAGTAGAACTAAGAGAAGAATTATAATTATTTTTAACAATGGTGGTGACACTGGGGTATGCAGCAAGCAGAGAGGGCAATGAAAAAAGGGAGAGATCGGCAGAGACTTACCCTCAAATCATAGCAACGGCATCTACTGTCTCCCCTCCCCCCACAAGCCTTCCAACTCTGCTACTCACTACCAGTGAACACTGAACACTTTGAATTTATTTAATGGTGTCTGAGAATTAAAAACATAACCCAACATTTCGTATGCAGACTGCAATTTTAACCCAACTATATTTCAGTTAGGGAAATACTGCTATACTACGTAAGTGTTACAAGTCACAATGGGTCTTGAAATTAATTTACACAAATCCAAAGTATCAGCTTCTGTTCCCATGTGTAAAACACAGGTAATAATTGTCTCTCAGGGGTGCTGTTCTGCTTAATGAGGTAAAAGAATCCAGTTTCTCATCCTGCAGCTACCGTATTTTAAAACGTTAAAGTCACATTTTGAGTGGCCTTTTGCCTTTCATTTTCTTCTTCCCATACATAAACATTTCTTGCTAACAATGAAAATGTTGGGAAAATAACTTTCTGAAGATGAATACCTTTTCCAAAGTTTTTAAAGACTCCCATGAACTCTTCAGTGAAAATGGCCAACTCATGTTAGAAAATTACTAAGACTACTTAGTACAATTTATGCTTATACAACATATTTATGCAATAAACATATCAAATTGTCTAAAAGAAGATAGAGTGATCTCATACATAAGTACTTCATAAGTCTCTGCAGTGACACCTTCCATACTTGCTTTTGAGTATGAGTTCTATGATTACATAGTAAAGAAACATTACAGTGTGCCTAAGAAACTGCTAGTAATCCTTTGCTTTGCTATAAATTTTTATATTGGCAAGTACATGTTTCTCCTAAAATTTATAAAGCATTTAGATATTAAGGTGAGATTTATATACTCAACTTTCTGCACAAAGTAAGTTTTTTCTGCTTGGTTATGAATTCCAAGGCAAAACCAAGCTTAGATCTTTTCCCACAACACTGACCAAGCCCTTTGTTCGCCATCATAGTCCAAAATTACTCAGGGTATAAATGGATTTCTTGGCTGCTTTTCAAAATGTTGACAACAATAATACTAATAAAATACCATATTACATGTCTACATTCCTGTCCAAGTCAACACAAATGCAAACACATGGGACAGAGAACCAAGTTTTCTTCAATTAAAGCCTTTGAATAAGGAAAGGAAAATGTAACTCTTCAGCTTTGCTACTCAAGGCTAGCACTGGCAACTAATCTGGGAGGAAAAGTTTCAAACAATCTTGATAAAGCAAAAGGCCAAGTCTTTGCTCCAAATACACTTGTGAAGTTGACCAGAATGAAGAGTTACAACTTTCAAAAAAAAAAAATGAGTACTTCTTCCTTGGCATCTTGAATTCGGTAAGAGCCTTACTTTTTTTTTTGGTTTCCCATCCAAAGACTGGTAAGAAGCAGCTGGGAGAATAGGGTGGAGTAGGTATAAGACCTGGGAATCTGCATTGCAACCCTCCCCCAGCCACACACACACACACAGCCACACACACACAAACTGAGTAACCTTGGACAAGTAGCTTAACCCCATTCTCAATTGTCTCTACTGTAAAATAAAATGTACTCACACCAAATACCCTGCATTTTTGCAGAATCAAAACAAATGACTTAACAGATGTAAAATCACCTGGCACATAGTAAACATTCAAAAATGGTTATTTTGTAAACACTAAGATTTTTGCCCATTTAGGTATGTCAGAAAGCATAATGCACTGTTCTATCCAATTAAGCCTGTGGAAAGTCAAATGACAGTATATTTGAAACTAAATGAAATCTTTAAAGTGCCAGAAAATGATTTTGTTTTTCCCCCTGTGCTACTTTCTGGTCAGAACAGATATATAAGGGTAAGTATTTGGTTTTGATATTCAAACAGATGGATGCATGGATGAATGAATCTTCTGGGACATACTTCAAGACTACGAAAATACCTATCCAGAAAGTAGAGAATATTCCCAAGTCCCAATCCCTCAACCAGAAATTCCAAAAGAACTAGATCAGCTTCCTCACAGCCTGCACACTACTTTCTCCTCTTAAAATGCTATTGATTGAAGTCTGAGATTTTACTCTCTACAGAAAAGTATTCTGAAGTTAAAATACTAAACATTTGCATAATTAGATGTCAAAGACAACAGAGAGAACAACTTTCCAGAAACACATGCAGGAAAATATTACATCTTTTACTAAAATACTTCAGAGTAGCAAAAGCTTCAACCCTTACCGGAAGGTGGGTCCATTCTGTATTTATTCTCTTGACACCAACCAACTGGTCGAAGTCTGTAATCCAAGTAAAACAACCACTGGTCATAGGATTCAGTGTCCTCCAATCCCACATAGCGAAGGCGTAATCTTCCTCCAACATTTTCAATCACACTAACTATCCAGTACTGAAAAGGGTTCTGAGAATCCTGAAGTTCTATTAAGGAATCAACTGTAATGAGGTCTATAGGGCCTTTCCCTCGCAGAGGCTGTTTAAACAGAAGCAAAACTCCTTATTTTAAACTTTATTTTAAGGTTCTCATGGAAACAGATGACAGCAGAAGATAATATTTTTTCACACTATCATCCAAGCTATTGGCAAACAGTCTGGTGTTTCCCTCCACCCCCATCTTTTCAATAGCAATTACCCCCTCCCCTTCCCTTCCTCCCACACACACTTCCATTTTACCCAATTCTGTACCCAACAACAGAAATCACATGTAAATAGAAAATAACAGTTTCTGCTAATTTCTCTCCCAACAACCATGCTTCCCAGATAAAATTACATCTGTTAGAAATTAGTATGCTTTTAAGAAGAGTTCTACCCAAATCTCCCTGAGGCTAGAAAACATGTAGTGGCAAAATGGCCCAATAGATATATCTAAAATGGGGCCATAAAATTATACCATGATTCTTCAACAAGCATTTATCTGAAGATGGTCACTACTTTAATAATCAATCCTCTCTCATACTCTGATTACATGAGTAGAGCATGTATATGTATGTTGTTGTTGTTGTTGTTATGTGCCGTCGAGTCGGCCCCGACTCATAGCGACCCCTCCTTAGGTTTCCGAGGCAGTATCACTACGGAAGTAGGATTGCCCAACCTTCCTTCCGAGGAGTGGCTGGTGGGTTTGAACCGCCAGCCTTCTGGTTAGCAGTCC